GCTTCACTGGCCCATGTTGGTGTTATCATTGCGCTCTTCCCGGGTGAGGTAGATCGGTTGCTGGCCACTGGACCGCTGTTCACAGCGGCTCTTGGCAGCTCATGCCAGCTGCCAGCCACTCATGGTAGCTTATGGCACCCCACTGCAGCTTCACCGCAGCCTATGCCATCGCCAGCAACTCATGGCAGCCCAGCTCCAGGTTGAGCTGTTGTTCACCATCTTAGCTGAAGAGGGCACAGTGTCACTGGCCCTAATGTGGGATCTGAACCAGGGCCTTGCTGCTCAGAGCTGGCATCTCAAGCCAACTCTTAACCAATGCACCACTCAGCCGGCCCAAACATCACTTCTTAAGGAAAGTCTTCTTTCTTAGTAAAAGACTGTATTTGGCTGCATGTAAATAGACCAAATTTAGGAGTTTAACCAAATAGAGTTTTGGGGTGTTTTTTTCACCTAAGAATTCCAGAAGTGGGCAGTTCAGGGGGCTGCCAGCTCCACAGTGTCCTCTATGTCCTAGCTTCCTGTCTCTCTGCCTGGTTGTTATTTGAAATATTTCGTCCTCATGGTCCCTCCATGGTATAAGATGGCTGTCCCACCTCAAGTCATCATTTCAGGCAGGACAAAGGAGAAGGAACAATTAAGGAGGAAAGGGCCTACATCAAGAAGCAGATTTCTAATTCCATCTCATTGGCCAGAACTGGGTCATGTGGGTCCAGCCCCAAGGGAGTCTGAGATATGTGGTTTTGAATCTGAGCAAATTGCCACCTTGAACAAAACAGTGGCTCTATTTTAAGGTCAAAGCTAAGAATAAGTATGAACAAATAGCTAGTGGCATCTGCTACAGCTTCCCTGATCACCTCTCCACAACTACCATCTCCAGATGGGCTTATCCTTCCTTGCTATATGACCTCATGTAGTGGTGTGCCGAGAAATGTTTGCCAACCAGCTTTCTGGGGCAGAAAATGGCACTGGTAGTAGTGTTTGCTGATTTCTGTGGTATGAATACCTCCATTGTGGCCAATTTCAAGCTACCAACCTGATGTCACTGAATACAGAGTTGGGAAGACATACACAGCAATACATCATTCTGGCTTCGTGAAACCAAGAGCAAGACGGAACCCATAGCCTCGTTTTCAGGCTGTGAGCGAACTTAATTTATCACGATGACACCAGGCAGAGTCCGTGATTTGATTTATTAAAAACATTTACTCTTGAGTTCTTTTACCGCTTTCAGGGACTGGAAGGCTCGAAAAAGAAGAGCTGATTTAGTTCGAGGTCCTGATGTAGAGCAAATGAAGATCACACTTCTTGTGGAGAGGCCATTATCCAAGCCTGGGGTCCCAGCATGCATGGAATCCTCCACATAACTGCTATTAGACATCAGCTTGAAGTGCCTAAGGAAGTGTGCAACACTTGCTTTTCACAGGGTAATTGACAACACTCTCTCTCAACTGGTAGGAACCTGAATTGCAGGCCCAGTGCCTTGAAGGAACCAATCAGCAAAAGGAACGAGTTATGTCTCGTTAATTCAAATATTATAATAACTTGCATTTTTATAGGACTTCCAATTTTAAAAGTTCTTTCACGTATATTCTCTCTTTTGAGTCCCATAATCATCTGGTGAGAAACAACTGGCATTTTATTTTGCAGAGGAGGACATAAAAGATAAGCTATTTATTGAAGACCATGTAACTCTTAGTGGACCCAGGCCCCCTGACTTTAAACTTAAGTCTCTTTCTATCACATTACACTTCTTTCCTTTCCTGGACATAAAAATGTACTCGTTCTGTGTCCTGTCCAGGTCTGAATTTTACCTACAATGTGAAAATGAATATGATTGTCCAGTCACTGTAATGTCCCTGTCCTAATTAACAGTTCGGGAAAAAGTGGCTTTCCAGGGAAATGTTTTAACCTTAAGAGATAAAGAGTCAGAATTTCAGGGAATATTGAAGGCGAGTAGAGGGAAGGTTTTCAGCTCAAGAGATCAAACCTTGGAAGCAGCCTTTTATTCCTCTCCTGAGCAGGACTGGAATTGGAAGGAAACTAAAATTCCAAAGCCCAGAAAACACCCCTGCCCCTGAAATTTCTCTCCTGTCTGTGGGCTGATGTGTGTTAGCCCTTTAGCAGGTGAGGTGGCTTTTATTTTGGTATCGGAGCTGAGGCTTACGATGCAGATGATCCTGGGAGAGAGAATACATTGGCTTAAATTTGTACTAGGATGAAAATAATCAATTTCCTGACAGACATTTTTCTGGATTCTGGCAGAAGGGGGAAGAAAGATTCAGAATGTCACATAGAGACCCAAGAGTGGACAGTGGTGATGCAGAAGACCATTACTGAAGAAATGCCCTGCCTGCAGGACTTCCTTCTGAGAAGTAAACCAGCCACAGCTGTCCCACTCCCCGCCACCCTCTCTCCTTGACCCTCTCACCTTGGCCCTGGATGTTGACTCAGACTCTCCTTCCAGGCAGAGCGTCAGCCACTTAGCTTCCCTGGCCTGACCCCAGGATGAACTCTGCATCCAGCTCTCAGCTCCCCCAACTGCCTCATCCTCTTTTCTTCCATGGCCCCTTGGAGGCCATTGATGGGGTGGAAATGGGAGAAGAGAAAGCTGCTGCAAGCTCTCCGCATCCTCTCATGCCCCCGAGGGTATATCTGAGCCTTTTCTCTCAGACCTTTAGGAAAATAAGATACTGAATTAGAGGCACTGGAAGGCCCCACTGGATTAATACAGAGCTGGAAGAATAGTGTCCTTTGCGAGGAATGGATGTGAGAGTGAGCATTCATGGGTATGTCAGATGAAAGAGAGCAGAGATAATGTTTGTGCTACATTGCATTGCCTTAAAATAAAAGCTACTGTTTTAAAAAAGAAAGAACGGGGCAAAATGGAGTCATTTTTGCTAAGCCACAGTCACCAGACCAAAACTTAATAAGTAATCTAATTGCAGTTTCAGCCTTTCCCACAAATGGGATTTTAAACCAGTATGGAATTTCCTGATTGACACCAGTGAGGTGCTTTGCCTGGTAAGTCCCCTTGTCTTCCCATAAGGGAAGGTATTCTTGTATGAAATAAACCACTCTTTTATATTTTGTCCCACCCTCTTTCTGCATATAGAAACCTTCCATTTTGGAGCATGCTTCTAGTTGCTAGGTGGAATGCTGCCTGATTTATGAATCACTTAAAGCCAATTAGATCTTCAAATTTACTTAGGTGAGTTTTGTTCTAACTTGAACATGACCAACATTACAACTATCCCACCATAGGCGCGCGCGCGCGCACACACACACACACACACACACACACACACACACACACTCACCCTATGAGCTCTTTTCTGAATGGATTTTCATCTTCTGGACTTTCTGCCACAGGTCTTGTCTTTCCCATGGCACAAAATGGACTGGAAAAGAAAGTGACCAAACAGAAACCCTGGGCCCCTTCTCCACTGCTTCATCTAGTGTGCAGGGCTGTACCACCATGGCCTGGCACCCCCGGCAGGGTCCAGGCACCAGCTGCTGCCCAGCACAGAGCAGGTACTGGCAGTAGGATAAGGCTTAGCTAGCTCTCAGTTAGGGAAGTGCTTCTTTACTGTGGAATTGTTTTTTCATTTGTTTGTTTTTTGTACACAGCAAACAACTGCCCCCAACTTTACATGCATTTGCTCTTTTCCATGTGTGGAAGTAAAAGGGGTTCTGTGGGAAGTAACCTCACAGTGTGACCTGATCACAAATTCCTAACTGGGCAGGTCGTGGGGTAGTCACATCCGAGGCATAAACTTCAGTAGTGAAAGGCTTATCTTTGCCTTAAGCAAACCTTATCCATTGTTTCTGTGCATCTAGGTTAGCACGCCTTTGAAATGACCACTTTCAGACCCCCTCTTTCTAAAGTGTGAGAGCACAAAGTCTTAACTAGTTCGTAACCCAATTCCCACCTTGATTTCTCCCACCCTCATGCAATCTTCCTTACGTTCCTTCCTTAAATTTAAATGCATACAAGAAACTGCAAAACTGTTATTCTCTGGAGCATTTGAGATCTTGCTCCCCAGCATATTTTATCAGTTTGGTTCAAATAAGCTCTTATAAAAATTCTATAAAGGTTTGGCTGTTTTTTACATTGACATATGTAATTAGACCCTTTGCAACATCTAGCTGCTGAGCTACAGATTCTCGGAAAAGACCCCAGGCAAAACTGTGCAGCCTGTCCTCAGCCTGGCTCCCTGCTTCTGTGGGAAACTCTCCCAGAGGGCAAAGGAAGGAACCAAGGCAGCCCTTCATCTGAAGACATCATTGGCCTAGCGCCCACTGTGCCAAGGCCATTGCCAGTGCTAAGCCAGGGGGATGGAAAAATTGTGTGTGTGTGGTTGGAGGGGGGCTTGTGATGCTCCGGTCTGACTTGAACTCCTTGAGTCTGTATCACTCACCTCATATGTCCCCAGCATCAGCCCATAAGGTATGTGCTTTGGGCAGTGCAGGAAAGGTCAGTGGAAGGTTGCTGACCTCCAAAGAGGAGAAGAAGGTATAAAAACACTTCGAAGGAAAAGAAAGCCGTGGGTGGTGGGTTGAACAGAAAGAGACCAAAGGAAATAAGTTACTACTCCAATTACAAGGAGCACTAAATGGATGGGCTTGTCCTTGCAGCGAGGCGGCAGACAGCTAGTCAGGGTAGAGGCATCCAAGCCTGTGTGCAGTCCGCAGTGCAGGGCTGGGGTTGGGTGTTTTGCTAGATAAGCAGGAGGGAACCCTTGAAAACTTGCTTGATTCCATCAAATGCTTTTGTTGATTAAAGGCTAGACGCTGCCAGGGTTCTTTAACTCCTGCCTCTAACACACAGGGCTGGTAGGTGAGACTAGTAATTTAAAGGGCATATGAGAGATGCAGTCCTGAAGTCCCCACCCAGCAGACGTCAGGGCTGGGGTTTACCCACTCACTTGAAGATGCTGACGCAGGAATGGAGTGCAAGCAGAGTCCCCAGGCAGGAGGTGAGAGACTCGGAACCGCTGGCTGATGTTGAAAAGGAATATTCTGCTTCGGGTGGAATCACTTTGTGCCAGGAGCCACAAAAGAAAGATGAACATATCCCTGAAGCTGATGCTGACCCAGAGAAGGCATTTGGGGAGGCCTAGTGAGAAGGGAAGGGAAGAGGAACAACCAAAAGACCTTAGGTGAAATGATCCTTCTGGGTGAGACGCCAGCTGTGCAAGGTGCAGAAAAGAGTTCATCCCCCTGTTAGCAGCCCCAACACCTAATCCAAGCAAAGCCCAGAGCTCAGAGACCTCCTCAGAGAAGGACAAAACCATGGCTGGATCATGGCTATACTCTGGACCCAGCCGACCAAACCAGACGGAGCCTTGAGGGTCTCAACTGAGAAAAAGGGATCCTTTCTTTGTATCTAGTTATCCCTTCATTCCAAGGTACAGTGTTTCTTTCAAGAAGACAGAACCTAGAAAAATATCTTTAATGAAGACCATAAAATGGAATGAGCTGTGGACCCCCAAGCCCACCCTCCCCATTGTACAATGGAGGAAACCGATGTCAGGGCCCCATAGTGAGTGGCAGAGCTAGGAATAGAGTCCAGGTTTCCTGGGTTCCATCTAAGCCATGTGCACCTCACCCCGCTACCTCTGCTTCGTGCCCCCTGCAGGAATTCCCAGCCGATCCAACTGCCACTGGGAACTGAGATTTTTTTTTTAATAGACTTTAATTTTTAGAGCAGTTTTAGGTTCACAGAAAAATTGAGCAGAAGGTTCTGAGTTTTCCCATATGCTCCCTGTCCCCACGCACGCACAGCCTCTTCCATTTTCAACATCCCTCACCAGTGTGGTCCATTTGTGGCAACTGATGAACCTACACTGACGCATCATAGTCACCCAAAGTCCGTAGCTTACATTAGGCTTCAATCTTGGTGGCGTACATCCTACAAGTTTCAACAAATGTATAATGACATACATTTACCATTACAGTATCATACAGAGCAGTAGTTTCACTGCCCTAATAATCCTCACACAGAAAATCTTCACAACAACTTATATAACAAAGAACCAATATCAAGGCTTAGTTGCTGTTAGTCTGGGGTTCATCTCTGGTGCACAGCTGGCTGGGTGTTCACTGGCTTGAAGGTATCCCCCTTGTAATAGAATAAAATAATCAGTCTCTCTGACTCCATCTTGCTCGAGCCTGTCCAACTCCCAAAACATGTCGGTTAGCAGCTTCTGCTTAGTCCTGCACGTAGACATGCTAATCATTTAAGGAATCTAACCTATAGACTAAGAGTTACTGAAACAACCTCCCTGCTAAAAACTACCTCCCTAAGGAGATAAGGAAGGTATGTACAAACATAATGATTGTTTATCAAGAGATTTATAGGAACCTCGTGACTGGGACCATGGTAACTAGAGTTTGTTGACTAAAAGCAAAGAAGTTTCATCATCCCCTTCGGACCCTTGCTGGAGTCCAGATGTCTGCAGCCATCAGTCACCTCCTGACCTCAAACCCCTCCTCTTTCCCCCTTCCCCTGACATTAAAAAACCCTGAATTCTGTACTTTCCCAAGATGTTTTTTTAGGAGACTAGTCTGCCATCTTCTCAGTTTGCTGGGTTTCTGAATAAAGTTGCTTTCCTTGCCCCAACCCCTTGTCACTTGACTTATTGGCTGTCACGTGCCAAGCAATTTGAGCTTTCACTTGATTACACCCTCCCCTATATTCTTTGTTGTCGGCATCTGGGATAGAAGTATTTCAGACATGCTGGTCCAGGATTAGGATGCAGGCACCTCAGACTGACAGAGTCAAGGCAGGACCAAGCTGTGATGAAGAGTTGTTACTGTAGACAAAGTTTGTTCTTAGAAGCGCGTACTTCCACCCACACAACACGTGCTTGCAAGTACACACACATACCCCCTCTATTCCTTTTTTTCTAGTACAGTGAATTTCTCTCTAGTGTTCCTAAGGATCTTAGTGCCCTTTTCCACTATCTTCTGTTCTGACTATCAAAAAATGCTTCCAAGAAGGGATCCAATGTTAATTATTTGCTATTCAGTGTTAACAGACGCCATCATATTTGCATCATGGACCTTAGCTCTCTTTATACAATTAAAAGTTTCTGTCTTTTAGAAAGTTTAGGCCCTTAAAAGAAAGTGGGAAGAATGCCCTTTCTTGGGTTCTTAAAATCACCCCAAATTGTACCTGCTTCATCTGCTTTGCATAGCACATATTCTGGGCCCCCTTCAGGCAGAGAATGGTGAAAAGCCAACATAGGATGTGAATAGAGAGGGGGATTTGGGTTAGAAATGGTCATTTGGAGCAAAAACTAAAGTTTTATTTTTCAAAATATAAAGCAGGTAAGAATAGATCCCTGGCTTTTGACACTATGGTGCAGATGTGCTGTGTTAAAGGGAGGAGTGCTAGAAAGACCTGGATTCTAGACCTGTGTCTATGAGAAAGGAGCTGGGTGACTTTGCAGGTCACTTTTCTTCTCTGAGTCTTGATTCTCCCTCTCTAAAATCTGTAGATTGGATTAAGTATTTCCTGCAATTCCTTCCAGCTCCAATATTCTACACTTCTGTAGTTCAGAGGAGGAACTAAAAAGCAAACTAGATGTATCCAGGGTGCCAGGCTTCCCACATCCTTTGCTTTTGACAAAGGTGATTGAAGTGGCTTGAAGAAGGTGTTTTCACCAAACCCTGGCCTCTCCTATCCTAGGAAAAAGGTGCTAATAGCACCAGAAAATTGCAAGTGTCACTGTGATGGAGACTGCAACTCCATTTTGAAAGGAAAACATATTTATTTGGAGCGGGGGGGATAGTCATCTCCTTGTATATGTAACTTTGAGCCAAACCAAGGAAACCTATGAGGGTTCAGCTTCATCTTACAAAAATTTTAAATCAGTAAGAGCTGTCTAGAAGAGTCCAGCCATTGTGATGGCTGAAAACGGCAAGTACAAAGATAATTATGCTGCTGGTATCAGATGCAACAAAGCAACTCATGTACCAGAGGGCCAGGCTGGGCTGCTGTGTCTAGTGAAAAGCACATAGTCTTGCTAATGGAGTTAAAACTCTTAGATACAACTTCTGGCTCTGATACCAATCATAGGTAAGCTTCATCACTAAGGCAGGGACCATATCTGTCGTGCTGACTACCACAAATAGTGCCTGTGTATGTATGGCAGGTACTCAATAAATACCGGGGGTGCCAAAAAAATGTATACACATGACTTGTATTCATCTTTTGTTATTGTTATACATTGAGCATTACAATTTTAATACACATTTCCTTT